AAATCATTCCAATTTGCTACATACTCTTTTTTAGAAATAGTCCTCTCTGACATTATTTATAACCAGTGTTTTAATCTCTCAAATGACTTATTATATTATGTTTTTTTCCTTATGTACAGAGAATTGTCTATTTTGCCTCTACTTCAAACTTTTTCTCACATGAACCATATTGACATGCTGAGCTGAATTTTTAAAGGTGCTTATCACATAGTTAGAAAGCCAGAAAAAAAAAAGAGTTATGAAAGATTACTTTATTTGTGCATGTCGTTATTCTGTGTTCTTAGGTGCATTATTTAAATAAAATTATTTAGGTTAGTTGTACCATTAGTATAAAAAAGTAGGCTTAAATTTCATAAACAGTCAACAGCAAATAAAAAACAGAACCCAGGTAAGCACTATAATTCTTGTTCTTCATTGTATTCTTTATTATTACAAAAGTAACTAGAATGTCAAAATTATTAGGTAAGATTAAGGTTAAGTAAGATAATGAATAACAATTATAAAAATGTGTGCATTACATAATTCAGAATAGTAACAACAGCTGCATGTTTGCCAAGTGATTTACAATTTTTGTGGTAAAATTATTAGTTAGACAGGTTCAAAGGGTAATAAAACAATCAAATTGAGTATAAACAGATGTATACTGCTACTACCTTAAAGTTATTTAGTATAAACAATAGTAGTATCCTCTTACAACCTGCAGTCATTCCAGAAAGACAAAAAGGGTAGTTTATATTCTGCATTTTCTTATGGTGGTTATGAAGTCAGTCAAATTGACTGAATGGGTATAGAGTTAGAGGGTAGAGAAAATAACATATAAAATAAAGTTTCACTGAGAAATAACATTTCATGACTAATTAAGATGTTTTAGAGACTATGCAAATGAAATTTTATAATATTAAGATAAAGAAAAGTATTTTTAATCTTAACATGAAAATCACTTTGCGCTTGGAGCAGTTAACACTCAGACTTCTTACAATCTCAGACAAATTCTTGGTAAAAATACTTATTTAACACAAAACTTGATTTTTTTGTGTACAAAAGACTTTTAATGTTTACTAAAATCTTGCTAAATTTCGTGATGATACATTAAGTACGTTCAGAGTTATATTGTGTATACATTCATGGTTATAAAGTCCTGTAAAATACATAAGCCCATCGTGAAAAGGTTAGGACAACAGGACCAAAGTTTTAAGACTTAGAAAAGACAGGGCTAGGCTTAAGTGAAGTTTTCTAAAAAATAAGCTTCAAATATTTTTACTTTTCCTCAGGGGTGGTATGCAAGGACATTCAGTAGAGCTGGGCAATTAACCTGATTATGTGTGAGCTTCAATTAGTCATGGAAAATTGTAATTACATCAATTAATGTCACAAAAAGAATGACCTAATCAAAATTAGTAACAATTGATTTAATAATAACTTGATTAATCTACTGTTTGAGTAATTGAAAATAATAAAAACTGAAACATTAAGTTTGATTAATTCATTATTTTTGTGACAATTGGTTTAATCAAAATAGTGGTTAATTGACTGTTGGAATAATTGAAAACATTAATTTTGATTAGTTGATTATTTTTGTAGCATTAATCAATGTAATCACTGCATATAGGTAATTAATTAATTTGTCAAACTGTAGTAATGGCTCAAAAGTAATTGACTAGTGGAAATTAAGGTTTCCAGATATTACTCTTTTTGTTTATTCCAAGTATTCAGTTAATCTATATATTACCATAGTGATTTTTAATAACTTTCTCAATTAATTCAAATTGTTTGACTCCAGTGATTAGGATGGTTGGTTCATGATTGAAAGGTTGTAGGCTTAATTCTTCTTGCCAACAAATATGACCACCCTTTCAGCATTGGGGCATTATATTGTTTCTTTGTTTTCAAGTCATGACAAAGTTACTAAGGCTATCTGCCATGGTCCCTAATTTTGAGTTGCAGAATGCAGTAAAAGCAACCAATCTGCAACATCCAACTTCAACTATGTTACCAACAAATTGTGGGATTAATCATACAGTTGAAAAGATTAACCCTAACTACCAGAGACATTGTAATGTGACAGTCAATCCTGTTAATTGGTAGAGTATTCCAAGAGTAGCCCACTGGTGCTGTCAGCCAGTTGCCTTCCCTCTAACTACCAGAGATATTGTAACGTGACAATCAATCCTATTAATTGGTAGAATATTCCAAGAGTAGCCCACTGGTGCTGTCAGCCAGTTGCCTTCCCTCTAACTATCAGAGATATTGTAACGTGACAATCAATCCTGTTAATTGGTAGAGTATTCCAAGACTTGCCCACTGGTGCTGTCAGGCAGTTGCCTTCCCTCTAACTACCAGAGATATTGTAACGTGACAATCAATCCTATTAATTGGTAGAATATTTCAAGAGTTGCCCACTGGTGCTGTCAGCCAGTTGCCTTCCCTATGGTTGGCAGTTGAAAGTTATTGATGGTGGCATATAACCTTAATAGTGTTGCTATAACTTTAATATAAAGAAACAAATAAAACACCCCCACAGCAGAAAGAGTGAACATGTTTGGTGACAATGGGAATTGAACCCACGACCCTTGAATCACGATAAATTACAAATGTAGATGTAACAATCGATTTTCAGTAAACAATAATAAAAGCAATAAATTAACAGCATTAAAATTTATAAGTATCAGCCATTTTAATTAAGAGTAACAAATACACAACATATAAATATAATTTTCCTTCTACAAAATATTATGAAAATGTACTCTGCTAACAATCCTGTGCAGATAGGCTGTGAGTGCAATATAGCCTTCATAATGTGCAATGAAAAATGTTAATGAATCAAAATATAATGCATTTTTGTGTTACATCACAAAATAATGACTAATTAATCTTATTCCCTATACGTCTTAACAAGTGAAGTGACGTGGTGTTAAGTTCGTCTCTTTGTACACTGAAGACACACCTAATGTATCCATACACTCTTTGTACAGTGAAGACACATCTAATGTATCCATTATCTAGATGTAACTGCATATATTCCATTCACCACCATGTGCACGACTGCCCATATATAGTTGTGTTCCTATAAAAGTGTAAACTGAGAACCAAGTCTACATACTTTAGGTAAACCATACCTAATAGTAACTAAACTATTCACTGTTACGTTTAGTATTTTTCTGGTTTATAATCAAAATCCTGAAGTAACATATATTTTCATCAGCAAAAATTCATTACCTTCAGTAGTCTTGTGAAGGTCTGTAAATAGAAACCTGTGTTTCTTTAGCTTGATACAGGTTTCCTACCACATTGCATGTATGATGCATTTTCATGTCAACAGTTAAGATAAAAAAGTCAATTCATTCTAAACTACTGTACCTGAAAACATCTATTACACCAAATGAAGAATAGTTCAAATGTCCTAAAAAAACCTAAAACAAGAAAATCAATCTCATGTGAGAATAACTGATTAGCTGAATGTAATTATGAGCCCTAGGATAAATTGATTAGCAAATTCTAATAATCACCCAGCTCTAGTTGTCAGTATGTTTGACTGTAGTTGTTAGTTTGATGCTTCCCAACCATTTTCAATATCATTCACAACCACTCACTCACCCCAGTTTTATAAAAGACAAAAAAATATTAAATTAACAGGATTTTTTTATTATTATTATGACTTAAATATACATCAAATTACAACTAGAATAAATAGTAATAACTAAAGACTTTTTTGCTCTTGAATTTGTTGAATAATTAATAATACTGTTGCATCAGCCGAGGTCACATGACTAGTATCACGACACTTCTTTCTCGAACCTTCGTGAATTGTCGGGAGATTACTAGATTGGGGGTAGCCTGGTATATATAAGATGGTCACAATGTGACGGGGCAATGTGTAGGTAATGAGTAACTGAACTGCAGTCAGAGAGTGTGTAATTGAGTATTGTCGAGCACGAGCACGTGAGACGTTCTAGCGTTTATTATAGAGTGACTATTGAAATTAAGTGTATCAGTAAAGTTGTATTCGGAAAGAATAAACCAGTTTTATTTAAGAAAGGACTTGTGATGCTAAAGTTTCTTTGGAACTAATTTACGGAAAATTAAGTAACGACTGGAGGCATAACAGTACTCATTCACCCTGATTTTGATCTCATTAACCACTGGGTGAACCATTCACCCAGTTGAGAAGCACTGGTCTAACATATGAAAAAGTCTATGAAATCTGAGAATCAAGCAAATTCACATTACATTTGGATAAAAATCCAACGAACATATCAGAAATGACAATAACAGAGGAGCTAAGAAAAAGCAGTAACTTAATGATCTTGTACACTCTGAGTACAACACATGGAGATCATCTCCTTGAACACCCTCTTTAACAATTCTCTACCAGATATGACCCATAAATTGAATAAGGTTTTACTCAGTTTGAGAGTTCCTTCTGTTTGACTTAGGTAAGCCTTATTAGCCCTAAACTAAAGGCTAACCTTTACTCAACCTAGTATAATTACTAATTTATTGTTTTCAATAACTTCCTCTCCCAGCCTGCTATTTTTTGTTCTACTCCCTAATTCTGTTATTGTCTTTCTTTTTCTAATTGCAACTTTTTTTAAAAACAAGTTTTACCGACTCTCTCTGAATCTCGTGTATATAAACGTCATTGATTAATTTTATTGATGCTATTCCAAATTTAATCTCTAATAAAATATGAAAAATTATTGTACAAAATAAGTTTGCTCTTGAACTCATTACCTAAAAATTATACTTTAAAATGTTCATAAAGTTTCCCAATGTGAACACATTTTCTTTTAATTTTAAGCACTATGAAAAAAGGGCTACAAAAAAAAATCCAAGCTCGGATCGAAGTCAATATACTACCTTAGCATATTTTACAAATTTTCGCCTAAAACTAAAAAACGTAAGAAACACTGGAACTTCGAACTGGAAGTGAAACTTTCAGCGGAAGGCCTAAGCCAAACATAAAAAAAATAAGGGGAGGGCTTACAATTCTTATAACTTACCAGGTGACGAATAGTTTGAAAAAGACGCGGGACTAGGTACCGACTCTGCAGAAATGCAAGCTTTACAAGCACCATGAAGGCAAGGAAGCAGTCTTGGCTCATTGTTTTCTTTCAATTCTTGCTTGCAGAAAACACATTTTGTGTCTAACCATTCGGCAATTTCGGGTGTTTCACTACTACCACTAACTTGTTCAGCTTCTGGTGTTTCATTTCTCTCCATTGACGATGCAATAAATACCACAAATAACACAAGAATTAAGTGGTTTTCACTAGCGTTGGCACGGATACAACACTGATATTCTGCGAACCTTAACACCCAACAATATTCACCTCATTTAATTCCCTTGACTTAGCGTACCTTCATTCAGCTAATAGCTTGGCCTGAATGGTCTCATAAGAGCGCCATCTAGCAATTCAAGATATAAGCACATTGCGAATATCATTTATAATTTTTAATTCCTCAGAAAGTAACGCAAAGCTGAGAAAAATTTATATATATATATATATAACACATTCTCACTATTAAAAGTTAGAACCGAATATTAATTGATAAAAATACCAAATACAAGACAAAAATTTTGTTCCTCGACATCAAAGGTAAAAGTAAGTTTCACTGAATTCTATTGTTATAACGGTTTATGTTTTAGGGCGGGTTTCCTTGATTATTCCGTAAAACATAAAGCAAAGTCCAGTCAACTTAATGCTGCCGAAAACATTGTTTTTTTACTACAAATTTTACAACTTACGGTAAATTTATCTTCACAAATAACGCTAAACATTCATGTACTGCTGAATTTACGTATGTACGTGTGATACTTTGTGTATCTCTATCACTTAATTTTTAGTATAAAACACATTGTTACGATAGCGGAAGTCACGTGAAGCTGCTGGCGTGCGTGATGAGTTTCTCAAATGATCGGGGAAGTCCAAGTGTATTCGAGATACCCTTTTCGTTAGTATTGTTACGTCTCTGTTCGTTAGTTAATTTTCCGTAAATTCGTTCCGACGAAACTTTATCGACACAAGTCGATAAATAAAACTGTTTATTCTTTCTGAATATAACTTTACGATACACTTAATTTCAACAGTCGCTCTATAAAAACGCTATGTCTCACGTGGCCAACAATATTTTGTCCGCATACATTCAATTACTCATTGCACTGTTCCCCGTCACGTTGTGACCATCTTATATATTGTTACGTCTCCGTTTGTTAATTGATTTTTCCGTAACTTCGTTCCAACGAAACTTTAACG